ATCCTCCTCTTTTTTTGCCGAGGAAGACGGCCCTGGGCTAACATCCGTGCCCATCCTCCTCCACTTTATATGGGACGCCGCCACAGCATGGCTTGCCAAAGCAGTGCGTCGGTGCGTGCCCGGGATCCGAACCAGCGAACCCCGGGCCGCTGCAGTGGAGCGCATGCACCCAACCACTTGCGCCACCGGGCCGGCCCCAAGGCTGTACTTCTTTTAATAATATATTGTGCTATATTTAGGCACAGAAAATTATTTTTTAATACACAGGAATTATTTTTAATACACAAAATAATGAAATTAATTATGCCCTACATATAAAACAAAATATACAGCATCCAAAAAGTGTTACTCTTGGTTTTTTTAAACATTTATTTATTTATTTATTTTTTTGCTGAGGAAGATTCACCATGAGCTAACATCTGCTGCCAGTCTTCCTCTTTGTTTGCTTGAGGAAGATTAGCCCTGAGCCAACATCTGTGCCAATCTTCCTCTACTTTACATGTGGGTTGCCACCACAGTATGGCTGACGAGTGGTGCAGGTCTGCGCCCACTATCCGGACCTGCAAACGCCGGCAGACAAAGCAGAGTGTGCTGAACTTAACAACTATGCCGCGGGGCCAGCCCCTAAAATTTTTTTTGAAATAATCATAGATTCACAGGAATGTGCAAAGAAATGTACAAGGAGGTCCTATGACCCTTCATCCATCCTCCCCCAATGTTACCATCTTGCATAGCTATAGTACAATATCAAAAGCAGAAGACTGACATTGGTACAATCCATAGAGCTTATTCAGATTTCACCAGTTATACATGAACTCATTGTGTGTGTAGCTCTATGTAATTTTATTACACATGTAGCTTTGAGTAAACATTATGACAATCAAGATATTGAACTGTGCTATCACCACAAGACTTCCTCATGCTACTCCTTTATGGTCACACCTACTCTCTCTGCCCTCTCCCATCCCTAACCCCTGGCATCCACAAAGCTGTTCTCCATTTCTAGAATTTGTTATTTCACAATTGTTACATAAATGGACTCATTCAGTATGTATCCTTTTGAGATTGGCTTTTTACACTCAGAATAATTTCCTTGAGGTTCGTCAAAGTTGCATTGCTGAGTAGGATTCCATGGTATGCATGTACCACGATTTGTTTAACCATTCATCCACTGAAGAATATCTGGATAGTTTCCAGTATTTGGCTGTTATCAATAAAGCTGCTATGAACATAAGTGTACATGTTTCAGTGTAAAAATAAGTTTTCATTTATCTGGAATATATGCCCAAGAGTGCAATTGCTGGGCCATATGGTAAATCTAGTTTTAGTTTGAAAAGAAACTGCCCAACTATTTTCCAGAGTACCTGTACCACTTTACATTCCTACCAGGAATGTATGAGTAATCTAGTTTCTCTACATCCCCTCTAGCATTTGATGGTGTCACTACCTTTTTTTTTTAAATTTTTTGTTTATTGCAGTAACATTGGTTTATAACATTGTAAAAATTTCAGGTGTACATCGTTATACTTCTATTTCTGCATAGATTACATCATGTTCACCACCCAAATACTAATTACAACCCATCACCACACACATGTGCCGAATTATCCCTTTCGCCCTCCTCCCTCCCCCCTTCCCCTCTGGTAACCACCAATCCAATCTCTGTCTCTATGTGTTTGTTTATTGTTGTTATTATCTACTACTTAATGAAGGAAATCATACGGTATTTGACCTTCTCCCTCTGACTTATTTCACTTTGCGTAATACCCTCAATGTCCATCCATGTTGTCACAAATGGCTGGATTTCATCGTTTCTTATGGCTGAGTAGTATTCCATTGTGTATATATACCACATCTTTTTTATCCATTCGTCCCTTGATGGGCACTTAGGTTGCTTCCAAGTCTTGGCTATTGTGAATAAGGCTGCAATGAACACAGGGGTGCATGTATCTCTATGCATTGGTGTTTTCAAGTTCTTTGGATAAATACCCAGCAGTGGAATAGCTGGATCATATGGTAGTTCTATCCTTGATTTTTTGAGGCCATTCTAATAGGTGTTAGTGACATCTTATCCTGGTCTTACTTTGCATTTCCCAAATGGCTAATTATGTTGAACATCTTTTCATGTACTTATTCGCCAACAGTATTCTCTCTTGGATGAAATGTCTGTGTATGTCTTTTGCTCATTTTCTAATTGGATTTTTTGTTTTTCAAATGTTGAATTTTTAGAGTTCTTTATATACTCGAGAAACAAATCCTTTGTTGGATGTGTGATTTGAAAATATTTTCTCCCAGTCTGTAATTTGCCTTTTCATCCTCTTAACAAGGTCTTTCACAGAGCAAAAGTTTTACATTTTGATGAGGTACAATTTATCAATTTTTACTTTTATGGATCATGCTTTTGGTATTGTACTGCACCTTTGGAGAAACATTCCCCATCAACTTCTTTCTGCTATCTTTCATGCCTTTGGAGGCTTTTACGTGCGCATGTGTGTGTGTGTCTGTGTGTGTATGTGTGTGTGCATGCACATGTATGTGTGTGTGTGCTGACTGGCCTAACTAGAAGAATTTGAGCTTATTGTTTGCGCATAATTATTAATGCACATAAACTATGAAATTCATAGAAGCATAACTCCTGGAGCTGAGTATAATACTACAAAATATGTTATCTAGTGAAAGTTTATTTACTAGATGTGAGCAGGGGGGAAATAGCTCATAAAATTACAATTCTTCTTCAAATTATACTGTCCTCCATTTAGAAACAATAAATAGAGAAGCATGACTACTATATATATGTTATATAAATCTGTGAAATTTCTACCTTGAAAATTATGTGATCATACACAGGCAAAAAAATCTCAAATCTAAAATTCTTTAGCTTGTAGGAGAAGCAGTATATACTTTCACAGAAATCAAGACCCGAGGCTACTGTACAACAAATGCTTGACACACCTACTTTTGTAAGACACCAACATGAATCAAAATTCAGTAAAATGGAACTCAGAGCAGGACACTGGTTTTAGGTGTTCCATATGAGGACAATCAGATTCCATGAGTTTACGTTGCCAAACACTGACTAGTTGTCATTATCAGCCCTTGAAACTCAACTTGGCTTAAGGTAGAGCTTAGATCTCGGATACCTTGCCTTTGTTTGAACTACTATTTGACCAATTCCAGTTATTTGCACAATTAACTTTTGAGATCAGGGCAAATGGAGTGTCCAAGTGACTTGCTCAGATTCCCAGTGGGAAATTCTCTCAGTCAGGAATGAGGGGGCAGTTACCCAGCTTTTCTGTATTCTTTTCAGAAATCTTTCAGGACATAACTGCTGCTTTCTTCCAAAGGAGTGACTTAAAGGTGATCTAAAAATAACTTAAGTACTGAGTAAACCACTTCTACCAGTCCACCCCCAGATAAACATGGTGGGAAGTTTGTTTGAAACCCTTAAGCAAAAACATCAGCAAAGATCCTTTGACCCTTGGTTAAATGCAAAATAAATAGATCTCCAGCCACCTGGACAACTCAAATGCAAGAGCTATTTTTGCGATATTTCCAAACATTTAAAGAGAAATTAGGCATCTGGCGGGGCTATGTCCTTTATGTTGCTGTTCTTTTTAACCTTTTACCAAACATCCTTTCTCTCCTTTTCTTTTTCTCTCCCTCCCTTGTACCTCCATCTTACAGACTCTAGCCCAATACCTTTCCCTAGATCCCAAATGGCTGATCTGAAATCAGGCTATTTGATCTTCTGGGAACTCCCTAAAGAGTCCTGATTTGAATTGGTCCTTTTTGTAATCAGCCTGGTCTGCTTAGGGGTGAGAAGTGCTTTCTAAACAAATTGCCCTATTAATTTTCCTGAGAATGCCCCTCACAGGACTTGACTAAAAGTTATAATGCTAGACTCCTACACAGAAACACTTACTCACAGTGGTAGGGAGAGAAACACACAGACATCAGCATGGGCAAATCCATATGAATGTGCATAAGTATACAGTGAGCCACAAATGGACTCAATAATGCATGTAGAGGGTGACGCAGCGGGTGCTGAGCTTCAGAATAGATTCTCCTGTTCTTCTTAGGGTCTGTAAAGTCTGCATAGCTATCAAGGGCTCATAATGAGCACTGGATGACCAGCATCCCTTAATAGTGGTGACTCAGAAGATCAGGCGCCTACTATGAATCACTGTAGAAGGTGCCCCAACAGTGAACTAAGCTGCATTTCACAAAAGCTAAGGGCTCTATCCTGCTCCCTGACCTGGAACTCCCCCTGCAGGATTTCCTAGGAATAATGGTCTTCACTGCTCCAGAGGGACTGCAAGGATCTGTGAAGTTGGGAGGCATGGGGAAGTGCCTCTGTATTCACCCTGACAAAATAATTGTCAGGAAGTTAGAGTGAACTGAGTGGTATCTTTACTTATAGTGAGTCTTTGGGCCTTTTCTCCTAGTGCAGGGGCAGGGTAAGGTGGAAGTCATTGTTGTCAGCTCACAGCCTCAACAGCCTGCCCATACTAGCTTGGTTTCTCACAAAGAATATCAACTTCCTTCTTTGTTGAGGTCACCACTACACTGCTGTTGCTAGGCAGGAAGTCCAAGCTCTGGAGTGTGAACAACATGCTAAACCACATGATGACACCAAAACCCAAGAACTATGTGCTCCTTAGAATAGCAGCCCAGGGAGTGGTCAGAAGAGAGATAGGGGGAAGTAACAGCACCTGAGATATTACCCACTTGGAGCTTCCTCTCCTCCCTCACTTCTCCCACTTTTTCCCTCCTCAAGCAGAAGCTGAGAAAGGCCTGCCCGAAGGTGATGAAACACCAAAATACCCCACCAACAGCCATCCCACAAAGGAAGTGTCTGCTGTGGTGGAAGCCTTGATTAAAACAGCTAAGACAGAGTTCAACGGTGATAGGGCTAGAAGACACTGAGGAGAGAGAAGGCTGACTATTACTTTGATTGTTTCCTTGGTTTTCCTCCCTCTACCCCAAGTTGAAAAGAAGCCACATGCCAGAGAACAGATATTCTATGCTGCCTCTGAGCAGAGAATGCAATGGGTCAAGCACACACACCAGTTACCAGGCTCCTTAGAGAAAAAAGCCAATAATAAAGTACTCTGGCCTTAAGATCTGAGCTGCCTCACAAGCACCCCAGTGCTATTGGTATGATGCCTGCCCTTGCTCAGACACACATAATGTAGAGTGATTCAACAGCTCCCACAATGAGTTGAAGCTTTCATGCCTGACTTCCCCAGCCACACTACTTTAACTTTTCCCATAAAACTCCCCCTGGCAACCAACAGTCAGTTCCTAGGATTGACTATAGCCTAGAAAGAATGACTAGGTTTGCGTGGTGTTCTTTTCCTTTTCTTTTTCTTCCCCTCTGACCAAATCATAGAAAATGTGTATATAAGCCTTATGAGATAGGGACTTGAAAAACAAGGCCCATATTGTGGTCCTTCATGCTGGAATGTGGTACAGGTGAGAGTGATGACTAGTCATGTATACACATGGCTGTAAATAATTAGTGTGGGGACAATCTCTTCCACGCTCTACACACAAACCCTATACTTGAGGCCAGCCTTATACACTACTCATGCCAGGTGTTTTTCAGACCTTTGCAACTAAGATTTATATTTGGCTCAATATGTAAAAAGATATTCTATTCATGAGAGTTCCTGATTAGAATGGCCTGCACTGACACTCTCATTTGCTAGAAGTCGAAGGCCAAGTCATGCTATGTTTCATTGTGTCTTGAAAGCTTCTCTTTATCCTCTAGGCTTCTGATGACCTCACCTCATCATATACTGGTTGTTGAGTATCCAGCTTCCATTTATAATCCACGCAATGCCAACTCAGATGGGTGGAGGCATGATGGGAACTCAGATATTGCTGCCCTGACTTTTGTTTTTTTTGTGAGGAAGATCAGCCCTGAGCTAACATCCATGCCAATCCTCCTCTTTTTGCTGAGGAGGACCGGCCCTGAGCTAACATCTATTGCCAATCCTCCTCCTTTTTTTTCCCTTTTCCTCCCCAAAGCCCCAGTGGATAGTTGTATGTCATAGTGCACATCCTTCTAGTTGCTGTATGTGGCACGCGGCCTCAGCATGGCCAGACAAGTGGTGCATCGGTGCGTGCCCAGCATCCGAACCCGGGCTGCCAGTAGTGGAGCGTGCACACTTAACCACTAAGCGATGGGGCCGGCCCCATGCCCTGACTTTTTGATACTGCCTACTGTGTTCCATTGGTGGGCTTTAAGTGGCAGCTTTCCACTGACTGTCATCTGTGGACAGAACTGAATTCTGTTGCAGGATGACACATAAGCTGGATCTGCTTCACGGTTCCCAGAAGTGCAGTGCTGCCTCTATACTGCCATTTATAATCATTTGCCTGTCTTCTGAGGTGTGTACTTAGCAAACACAACCATCTAACCACAGCACTATTTAAATAACAATCCCTGGAATTCAAATGTTATTTTTAAACTACTAAGTCTAAGAATTTCCCAAAGGACACGAGACATGCCCGGCCATGAGCCTCCTCTATAAAATCTCAAGGCTACTTGGCACCACGGATTAAATACCTAAATCTGTCTTCCCTTCACCTAGTGATGGAGAGTTGGCTATACATGATATCCTCCACTATGAGGAGTCTTAAGATCTTGGAAACCTTGTCAAAGCAGCCAAACTTGATGTCATAGTTTAGGTCCGTTAATAGTAGCAAATGTTGTTATAATATCAGTGCATAAACAGAATATCCTTTTTCCCTCCACTTTCTTCTCATGGATATAATCCATGCATCAGAGATTGTGTCTGCCATGTTTGCTATGCTGCAACCTCAAATTACAAGGCAATACTAGGAAAATATAGTTGTCAGTATTCTTTGGTAGCAGCTTCAGAACAACTCTTATCAAAAGGGGTGGGGGAAAAGGCAACACAAAATAATTTTCTTCTCGTTCTAAGTGAAAAAAAATGATAATTGGAGCTTTGAAATCTAATGGCATTTATCTAGCCCTCCATCTAAGGGGAAAATTCTATGTAGATATTGAATTAGTACCTCTCCTATCTGCTTGAAAAATCTCCCTAGGAAAGCCTCCAAGTGAAAAGAGCCTCTTTCAGGACTTAGGTTTCTGCAGAACATCTTTAAAAGTTGGAATAAAGTTAACACTAGACTTTGTAAGTTCTCATTCCTTGATCATGAAAGTTCATCATCATCTTTGATGAAGGAAGTTCATCATCATTCTTGATGATTGAAGATCACTCAAGTGTTACTGACATTCTTGCTGGAGGCCAGCAGAAATTAAATTGGTGCCAATTCTACATACCCTGGAGATTATTATATATGTATATGTATATGTATAATCATACACACATAGATATGTGTAACCTGCAGCCCGCCTGCAGAATAGGGTGCTATAGCTGCATGATTTTTGCCTTGTACCTCTTCGGGGGTTCCTTTCTCCTCTCTCTCACTTACATATAAAGTTGCTTTCAAATTAAAATTGCTACTTTTCTGGGAAAAAAGTCCTGAGAGAGATTGGTAGCTCGGATATCAGGAAGGATTGAAATAATTATTAACTACAAACTTAGAACTCTATAATTAATTAATATTAATGAAGTATCTGCTCCCCACCAATAAATTATGGCAAGAGGAGAGAACTTATTATGAAAGAAGTCAGAGGCACATACTAAGTGCTCAAGAATACTTGTTGAATTACAAGTCTCTGTCTTGACATGCCCCTTTAACCAGGAGAAGAAAACAGCAGTAAGTAAAGGGGATACATGACTCTGATATTAAGATACATTGTTAAGAAGCACTGATAGTCACCCTTGTTGGTTCCCACGTTTTCCTTATTCTGTATGGAGCACTCACTCCTTTTGAAAGGGAAGGCGAGCAGAGGCAGTGAGCAAGGATAGTACTTGCTTGAAACAAAATTGTGTCTTTCACATGTTAGCAGCTAGCAGTTTTTAGAGAACCAACTAGGTATCATGCACTGAACTAAACACTCGATACACCACTGGTCCTTAGAACAATGCTACAAGGTGGAATTATTACTCTTATATGATAAGTGAGGAAAATGAGACTCAGAGAGGTGAGTGAGGGTGCCCAAGGTTACAGAGCTAGGAAACGATAGGGCTGGGATTTCAACCCAAATGTGTCTGACTCTGAAGCCCACTATATTACACTGCAACTCCCATGGTTAGCCTCACACTATCCCCTCTGCAGGTAGAAGCAGGTCTTAATAACTCCATTTTATAGACAGGGACATTAAGGCATAGGACAGAGAAGTATTATTCCAAAGAGTCTAAAACATTTTCCCTTCCACATAATCCAGCCTTCAAAGGGGGAAATGAAATAGAGAATTAGCCTTCTTCACTAGGCTTCTACCTTAGAAAAATCTCCACCCAGGGATATCAGTCTTAGTGACATTTGACCCTGCAGAAGGTGGTATGCAAGATGACCCAACTTGCTGTGGCAACAGAATACGTGGCAGAGATGAAAGTGGAACACAGACCTGAGCTGCGTCTATTAAAAAACAGTAGTAGGCAGGCAGAAATCTGTGCTTTAACCCTGCCTCAATACATTTTATTTGTTTTAAATGAACTAATTCCATCTTGTATTGATGTCATAGTCATTTTGAAGCTGTGCAAAGTGCTTTACAGAATTTGTAAGGCTTTAACATACCTTTGAGCAGAGAATTTTAAAGTGCTTCCCAGATATTCTACGGTGGGAAACATGCTTATTTACAAATGGATAAATAAGAAGTGAGAGGTTAAAGGATTTACCTCAAATCACAAAGGCACAGCTAGGAAGAGAATCAGCCTCTTAAATCTCAATTCTGGGCTGAAACCACTAGCCTGGTGTGTTTTTAATCTCTTAAGAATTGTAGAACCTGTTGAGAATTCTGATCTCAGGAAGTCCCAAATTATTTACATGATGAATCATCATTATAAGCATCTAAAAGTGTTTTCTAGTATTAAAAAAAAAACAATTACAATCACCTTAAAACTATCTCATCTTATGCCTGTGGACTTGGTTAGCTTTAAAGAAGGTAATTAGTCCTGAAATGAAGGCAGGTGGCCCCCATTATCCCACTTTGTTTAAAGGAACCTAGATCATTTCTGGGCTCAAGAGGGCTGCTTTGAAAACCTTGTACTAACTAGGCTGACGTGGATTAGGGATTGGTTTTGGAGTACACCTGAAATTTTTACAATGTTATAAACCAATGTTACTGCAATAAACAAAAAATTTTAAAAAAAAGTAAAAATAAAAATTTTTCTCTTTAACTTTACATATTAAAAAATAAATAAATCTTTAAAATGGAGTTGGGAGCCTTGGGCTTGAATCTCGATTCTGATCCTTAGTAGTGAAGTGTCCTTTAGCCTTAGTTTTCTCATCAGCACAATGGGGATGAAATCAATATCACATACAGGGTTGGGGCGAGAATCCAAAGACATAGGACATGGGAAATGTGGAAGCATTTTAGAAGGCTGTAGAGTATGATACAAAAATCAAATGGTAGTCTAGAAAGCTCGCTACATTTTTTGGCTATAACATGCCTGATTAGGAAGGGTCTCTGAAGGCTCAGCCTGAACTTGCAATATTATAAGCATACAGAGAAAGCTGATTAGGAATGGTGTTCCTTATATGTATGACAAGGCTTTCCAAAGGTATGCCAAACAGGCATATACAAGCAGCAAAACTGCGACTGAAAGATGCTCTTGAATACCCAAGACTGAATAGAGATGCCGCTTAGAAACTGGCCCTGTATGAAATGCATGGCAGAATCAGTTCCTTTCTCAGACCACGGTATCTCTGAACGTCAGTCAGGAGCTCATACTCTCATGTCAGAGAAAGATGGTGCATAGAAGTGGGCAGGCCAGGAATGAAACAAAAGAATCCCAAACCCTCGGATAGCACCAAGAAAGAATCTGGACAAAGTTTGAGAAAAGTGTGAGTTGCAAAGTAGAAAAAAAATAGAAATTATTAATATCCTATGCTATTTCCCCCAACCCTTTATTTCCCTTCTTCCTTACCCTCCCCCATTCACTCATCCTACCCCTACTTTCTCCAAGTTCTTCATTTCTGTCTGCCTCTGCCAAGCTTCACCTCCTCTGGTCTCAAAACAAAAACAAAAACAAAAATCCACCAGTGTTTTCTCACTTCAGTTCCTTTGCTCACACTGTTTTGCTTGCCTACAATTCCCTTCTTATCACTCCTCCTGGTACCTCCCTCCAAATAAGAAAAACTTTGGAATGTCCTTTTACTCATCTCTGAACCCAAGTCTACCCCACCCTGCTAGTCTCCAATCAATTCTTATCTCCTTTGAACTCAGAGTTTCTCTTGTGGCCATTATCATTTTCCACTTGGGGTTGCAGTGATTTGTATACTTTGTCTTATTTCCTTTACTTGGCTAGAATTTCATTCAGGTAAGTTACAGTTATCGGCACAGAACCTGACACAGAGTAGATGTTCAATAAATGATTTTAGGTGAATGAATAAATGATCATCCTTGCTTGCAACAAGCAGGCCACCATCATCTTTCACCTGAATTTTTGCAACAGCCTAAGTAATCTCCCTGCCTCCTATCTTGTTCCCCTCCAATCTATCCTTCTCACTGTCACAATATATATCTTACAAAAATTACTTTCATCGTGTTACTCTCCTACTCAAGAACCTTAAATAATGTCCTGCTGTACAGAATCAAGTCCAGATCCCTCTGCCTTTCTCTCAAAGCTCTTTGATATCAGTTGAATTGAGTCATTGCTGCTTCCAAGTCTTTGTGTATGTTGCTCCAAGATCTAGATTCAATTGATCTCACCTCCCTCAGGAAGCCTTCCCTAGCTACTCCATCCCTTATTGTTCCTCTTTCATAATTCTACAGCATTACTCTCTGAACTATACATGCTGTAATATAATCATATCTTTCCTTGTATTGATACCTACCTACCTCTGGCGTACATGTTTTGTCTTCCAAATGAGATTGCAGACTTTACATCTACCCTTGTTCTTTCCACACCAACTGGCAAAGGGCTGGGGACCAACCAGGCCTTCAGTTCACACTTTCAAACATTTGATTTATTCCCTGGTGATTCTGTCTGGCTTTCCCTTTGTTTCCTCCACTGTCTGCAGCTATGTTAAGGGGCTTATTATCCATTTCACACCTAAAAGACAAAATTTACCTGATAATAATAATTTTCTTTAAGAAAGTCGCCACTTCCCCTAAACATTTTCAGAGAAAATCTTATAATGCACTAAGTATATCTTAGCTTGCTGTCTTTGGAGATATTTTAATATTATATATATAAGACTGCTTTGTTATTCTCATTAATTCAACAGTTATTAAGTGCCTACTATGTGTGAAGAGCTTTAAAATAGAATCTTTGGGGACTGGCCCGGTGGCGTAGCGGTTAAGTTTGTGCACTCCGCTTTGGCAGCCCAGGATTTGCAGGTTCAGATCCCGGGCGCAGACCTATGCACTGCTTATCAAACCATGCTGTGGCAGGCATCCCACTTATAAAGTAGAGGAAGATGGGCACAGATGTTGGCCCAGGGCCAATCTTCCTCAGCAAAAAAGAGGAGGATTGGCAACAGATGTTAGCTCAGGGCTAATCTTCCTCAAAAAGAAAATAGAATCTTTGATATAGAGAACAATATATTCTTCTTCTTATTTTAACATGAGAGAAATATTCTCATGCTCTTCCTATTAATAATTAGATAACGATTAACCTTTCTTACTGGTTTCCCTAAACATAGTATATTTCTAAGCTTACAACTAAAGACTTGGGTAATGAGAGAAAAGCCACTAATATCCTATGGAGGACAACACATTAACAATATTCCCTCTCCTTTCAAGACCATTCAGAGAATTTTCATCAACAAAGAGAAAATAGCCAAAGGAGAGGATAGAAAAGTTATTGAAAAATATTACTCAGGATCAACACTTTAAAACGTTCCTTAAAAATACTACAGTCTCTTCTTTCTCCCTTCTCTTCCAATATTTCGATTTCTAAATCTGTATTTTTTCTCTGCCTATTTCCCCCAACATTATTTGTCCACATTCATCTCTCTTCCATTATCTGATTCTATTGATTTCGTTTCATTGCTTTCAACTGGGGGGTGGGTGGGGGGCGGGGGCAATAGACTTTTTCCACCCTGCCTATTGTTCACGGCAAAACATACACACTTTGGTCCTTGAACCCTTAAGTTCTTGCCTTTCTTTAATCACTGGCTTGAGCTTAGACCTTACCGACACCTCAAACTCAAATTTTGCAAAACTGAACTCATAATCTTTCTCTAGCTACTACGTAAGCCTGCTTTTACTCCTGTCTTCTCTATAATTTTAACAACTCCAGGCTAGAAAGTTTAGAGTCACCTTCCACTCTTCTCTCTCCCCCATCATTCACACCCAGTTAGTTACAAACCAAATCCTGTCAGCATCTCTTCTGTCTACTTCTTCCCATACGGATTGCCTTAGGTCCTCTATATCTCTTACCTAGACTGCTGTCCCTTTCTCTAGAGCCTTCCTGTCTAACTCATCCTATGTATTGACAATTTTCTTAAATCTAAACCTAGTTCTAAACCTAGTTATGTCACTCTCAATCAAAAACCTTCCATGATTCTCCACTGCTTATTGAATAGAACATACATTCCTTCACCTGGCATTCAAGGCCATCTGCAATTTGGCTCCCACTTAACTTTTCCAGCCTTTCTTTCTGATGCACTAAAAGTTCCAATTCTTTGTGAGATATCCATTCTTTGTGGGATTCTCAGAGCATCAACCTTTCTACCTCTTCCATGTCTATGCTTAAGATATTCCCTCTGCCTCCTGTCTCTTTTCCCATGTTTGCCTATCAAAGTCCTACTTAATCTTCAGACATGGTTCAGATCGCACCTCCTTCAAACAACTTTCCAAGACTGAGTGGCTTTCTATATCTACTTAGCACAGTTCTTTGTCACTAGTAAGCCCTTAGAAAGGTTTGTTGAATTGAACTCACATAAGAGCATGTTAACTTAAGGGAACTCATTGCCTGTGGGAGTGAGACAGCTGAAAATAGGTTAAATAGGAGAGCTGGGCAGAAGGCTGGCACCAGAGTGAGCAGCCAGAGCCTCCTCCTTTAAATGCTTCAAGGTCCAGCTAAATGTCTATTTATCACTGTGTGTGTGTGTGTGTGTGTGTGTGTGTGTGTGTATGCCTACCTACCAGGCTGTTCAGCTATTGGAGTATATATTCTTAGGCATGTTCCTGGGAGTGAATGTACCAGTGTGTACCCGTGGATGTATGCCTGCCTATGCCTTCGCCCCTATAAATTCCTGTTTCAAACCCTTGTTACAGGTTTCTGTTTTAAAATGATGCTCAGCTTAAATATGATATGCAATAAAATAGGTGCTTTTGGAAATCGGTTCTGAGCATATGATTTATAGGCTTCTAGGGAGTTGCTAAGGGGGCCATTGTATTTAAATGTAAGGAACTAGTAGCAGGATCAGCCCATAAGACACCTTTAGGCACATCAGGAAAAGGCACCATTTGATAAAGATATTTTACTTCCATTTGTCAGAAGATTGTCATAATATACCGATTTCATTAGAGTGAGGCACTTGACTGCCATCTGCAGGAAAATTGTTAGAATATATATATGTATGTATGTATGTATATATATTACATGATACATATGTATATATAACATCTACATTGTGAAAGGTGTCCCCTTAGACACAGCAGCATCATATAGCGTACAACCTGCACAACTTTATGTGGTGATCCTGCCCAGTAGCTATTCTGGAAAGGGTAGAAGTTGTCTATCTCATTTAAGGGACAAGTTGTTCCTTCTGATTGGAAACAAGATGGCTGGTAGAGTTTCCTGCTGTCTAAGTAGAGACTCCATATTCTCTTTGCTGATGAGACCATTTTCAAGGTCAAGGTGCTGATCTGATCAGAGGCATTGGTGAAACAAGTTAAGGCTTTTCCTGTAACTAGTAGAAAGCTATTTTGGATAAAACTTGGACTGCCAAGGGGACATCAAAGCTTAGTTGTTGCTTCTTAGTCCTCACAAGAAAGGGAGAACCTCGGAATAGTCATATTGACACATAGCTCCAAATTCAAGTGCTAGCTACAGGAGAAAATTGACACCAAGATAATGAGTCAGGAGCTTTTCAATTAAGGTGAAAAGAATACCATAAATGGATTAAATTCTTATT